GCCGCCGCCGCCGCCACCACCACCTCCTCCGCCAATGCCCGGTATGGGTGGTATGCCACCACCACCACCTCCGCCCCCGCCCATGCCTGGTATGCCTGGTATGCCACCACCGCCTCCCCCCCTATGCCAGGTCCCGCTTCGGGGCGCTTCTTGGCACAAAACGCTGGGCTTCCCGCAACCAACTCTGTTGGGCTACCTGTTGTCCGGCCTAAGAAGAAGCTCAAGGCATTCCATTGGGACAAGGTCGACACCCCATTGGCAACGCATTGGGCGGCACATACACCGTCCCCCGAGTCGAGAGAAGAGAAGTATCATGAGCTCAGCAAGAAGGGTATCCTTGACGAGGTTGAGAAGTTGTTCATGGCGAAGGAGATCAAGAAGCTTGGCGGTGGAAGTGCCAAGAAGGATGACAAGAAACAAATCATCTCCAACGATTTGCGCAAGGCATTTGGTAAGTATCGGATGAAAGCAGCAGGTTCGATAGAGTCACACACTAACAATCTACAGAAATCGCACTTGCCAAGTTCTCACAGTACCCTGTTGAGAAGGTGGTGCAGATGATCATCCACTGCGACAAAGACGTACTCGACAACCCAGTCGTTATGGATTTCTTGCAGAAGGATGATCTCTGCAATATTTCGGATAACACTGCCAAGGTCATGGCACCGTATAGCAAGGACTGGACTGGACCGGATGCCGGCAAAGATACCCGAGAACAAGATCCTAACGAGCTCACAAGACAGGATCAGATCTACCTGTACACGGCATTCGAACTTCATCACTACTGGAAGAGTAGGATGAGGGCCCTTGCACTGACCCGCAGCTTCGAACAAGACTACGAAGAGATCACCGATAAGATGCGCGCCGTTGTAGGAGTATCCGAATCTTTGAGAGATTCCGTGTCCCTTATGAACGTACTAGGACTCATCTTGGATATCGGTAATTATATGAACGACGCGAACAAGCAAGCCCGCGGTTTCAAGCTCTCTTCTCTTGCCAGACTTGGTATGGTGAAGGACGACAAGAACGAATCGACTCTTGCGGATCTCGTCGAGCGTATCGTGCGCCAGCAATACCCGGAGTGGGAAGACTTCGCCAAGGACATCGAGGGCGTCATTGCGGCGCAGAAGATCAACATCGAACAGCTTCAGGCTGATGCCAAGAGATATATCGACAACATCAAGAACGTACAAATGTCTCTCGACTCTGGCAATCTCTCCGATCCGAAGAAGTTCCACCCCCAGGATCGGGTGTCGCAGATTGTGCAGAGGGTCATGAAGGATGCTCGATTCAAGGCAGAGCAGATGCAGTTGTATCTGGAAGAGATGGTGCGCACATACAACGACATCATGGTTTTCTACGGCGAAGACCCGGCAGACGACAATGCTCGTCGCGATTTCTTCTCCAAGTTGGCGTCGTTCATCAATGAGTGGAAGAGGTCGCGTGAGAAGAACATTCAGTTGGAAGAGCAGCGAAAGCGGAACGAGGCATCGATGAAGCGCAAGAATGCGCAGTTCAAGGCTTTACAAGCAGCCGAGGCACCAGGACCGGCAAGCCCTGGGAGTGCGGGGGCAATGGACAGTCTACTCGAGAAGCTCAGAGCGGCAGCCCCGCAAACAAGAGACCAAAGAGACAGGAGGAGGAGAGCACGTCTCAAGGACAAACATCAAGTCCGCATCGCCTCGGGCCAGCAAGTGCCAGATTTCAACGAAATCCCCGAGGTGGAGGCCGCCCTGCAGACCGGCAAGAGTGTTGCATCCGCAATCACGGCCGACGACGGCGCCAGCAACGGTCTTCTCAGCCCCAACTCCTTACCGCCAACAAAGGAGGCTCCCGACGCGGAGGAAGACGACGTCGCTCGACGCGCAGCTGCATTGCTGCAAAGCTTCCAGGGCGGCGATGGGGCGGAGGACGATGCAGAGAAGCGGGAAAGTCTGAGGAAGTCGAGGAGGCAGACTGCAGCCGAGGAGAGGAACATGAGAAGGCGGAGGAGAGAAAAGGCGCAGACTAGCACGACTGGTGAAGACGGGAAGGACGGGCCAACAGGGGCAGATGGGACGGAAGCCGCGCCTTCAGCTAGCGCTGAGGATCTTTCGGCAGCTGCCGATGGGCCGTCATCATCACGACCAGGCACAGCAACGAGTGCCGGGACACCAGCGGAGGAGACTGGGACTGAGGCTACACCTGCGGCAACGGCAACGGCAACGGCGACGGCGACGGTGACGGACACGAGTCCTGAAGAAAGTAAAGAAACTACAGGATGAGTGTGTGATCGTTCCGCGTGTCGTCGCTTGTTCTGTCTGTCTGTTCCATTTAAGAAGTTTACCTACCAACAAAGTTCTGTTTGCAACATTGTACATTACCAACCATCATGATGCAAGCTTCTTTGACAAAGTCGAAAATGGAGAAGGCCAGCCCCAGTACCTAGTAGTGCACAGAGTCATACACCTATATAAAGAAAGAAGAGTACGTAATGTCTACTTAGAAGAAGACGATGAAGGGAGCTTTTTAAGGTGGAATGGAATGAAGTAGAAGTCGAAGACCAAGCAAGATGTTCAGGTTTTTGATACCATTGCTTTATTTTCGTAGCTCAAGGATTCTACCTAGCTTGGTGAATAAAAGGGGAATGTTCTCCTGTATACAATAACTCATCAAGGTTTCAAATAGAAAGGAGGCGAAGTGACACCATCCACATCCACCATCCACATGCCTCAGTAGTGTACAAAATTAGTTCAAGCCAAGCTTTCCGGGGATTCATGGAATAACTCTCTTGGCTCTTTACCCCGTGGGTGGTAGATGCTCCCCCAACAAAGGTACCAAGGGGGACGAGAAAGACACTAGAACCGTTACGTCGTGACGACGATCCCCCCATTTTCCACGCTTTTGCTCCCCAAACTTGTCGCCGTCAGCGTAACGGTATGAGGGGGGGGGGGGGCATTTTAACCGCGAGCAGCCTGATTCAACCCCTCATGACATGATGACGGGAACTTCCCGATGTCTCTTGAGACGAACCCCTCGTGCCGATGCGTGCGTGCCCCTCATCCGAACCGAATCCTTGAACCATAAACATCCAGGCGCTGGTGGCTCCACTGTGGTATTACTTCAGAAAGAGGTTTCGGGATGATTAACCGCGAGATGACCCTCGAGTGAGGGGAACGGGACCTACGGAGATAGGTGGGTGGTAATGATGGACAATGGCCATGTGGCTTTCGGGAGGCTTTATATACCGGGGACTACCCGTTTCCCATGAATATTCTCTCTATTGTTTTGGTTGTTTTCATCTTGGTTGTCTCTTCAGAATACTCCCATCCTTCTCACGACTGGAGTATGTTCTAGGTAAACCTCTGGATGAGGTCGATGACATCGTAAACACCTACCTACCTACCTACCTACCTACCTACCTACCTACCTACCTACCTACCTACCTACCTACCTACCTACCTACCTACTCTCCATTAACAACACCCATAAAGACCAACACAACACCCGAAATGTCCACAACCAACACCACCACCCCCGAAGGCGTCCCCGGCCTCCTCCTAGGCCACTCCTCCCGGCACCCTTTCTCTCTAGTCCCGCTCTCCTCCCGCTCCTCCGTGCAATCCCTCCTCACCACCCTCCTCGACCCCCTCCTCCCCTTCTTCTCGCCCCTCAAATCCCGTATCCGCGTCCCAGGAGCCACAGCAGTGCGCTTCGACCAAACCGCCTCCGAAATCGAAGGTCTTGCCCGTCCGCTATGGGGCCTTGCCTGTCTTTTGGCGGGCGGCGGGGAATACGAATACAAGGAGTGGTGGATCGAAGGCATAAAGAACGGGGTTGATGCGGAGGGAAAAGAGTTTTGGGGGTGGGCGAGGGATAATGATCAGAGGATGGTGGAGATGTGTCCGCTGGGTTTTGCGCTGGCTGTTATACCCGGTTTGTGGGAGAAACTGGGGGAAAGCGGGCAGAGGGGGGTGGAGAGGTGGTTGGGGGAGGAGGTTAATGTTAAGAAGTAGGTTTTTGACTCTTTTTCCTTTTCGTTTTTCCTTTTTTGTTTCACATTTGCTTCTGTGTGTGCGTTGCGTGGGGACGATGAAGGAACTGATGGGGGGAAGTTGTAAGGTGTAAAAGCGAGAAACGTGGGAAGGAAGGGAAAGAATGAAAGAGGGGAAGGCGTGAAGGAGAGGAAGGAGCGAAGGAAGGGAAGGGGTGAAGGAGATGAAGGAGTGAAAGCGGGAATGAGGGGAGGGGACGGTCGAATGGGGGGAAAGAACGACGAGAGAAAGGAAGCAAGAACAGAAGGCTAACTGAGTGTTTCGCAGCATGCCCAACACGAACTGGCTATGGTTTCGCGTCTTCGCCAACCTTGGACTAAAGAAAAATGGTGGAAAGTTCTCTCAGGAGAGATTGGATGCCGACATCGAGCATCTCGATACGTTTTACCGCGGTGATGGCTGGTCGAATGATGGCCCAGAGGGTATTCATCGTATGTTCAACCACCCCCAGTTCTACCCCTGAAGGGAGATATACTGACAACCATCTTCAAGAAATGGATTACTACTCTTCGAGTTTTGCCATCCACTTCCTTCAGCTACTTTATGCCAAACTGGCTGGCGAAGATGAGCCCGAACGGGCTGCCGAGTTCAAGAAGAGGGCACAGACCGCCGCATTGGATCTGGTACATTACTATGACAAGGAGGGTGAGTGACTACCTGTACCATATCCCAACTACGAGGAACATTTCTAACATATTTCCCAGGCCGCTCCATCCCCTTCGGCCGCAGTGTCGGCTACCGCTTCGCCATGGTCTCCTTCTGGGGCGCCCTCGCCTACGCCGACGTCGAGCTCCCCGCCCCTTTAACCTGGGGCATGGTCAAAGGCATCGTTCTCCGACATCTGGGCTGGTGGCAGACCCAAGGCAACATATTCAGCCCCGCTGGCACTCTCACCATCGGCTACTCGTACCCCAACATGTACATGGCCGAGAACTACAACAGTCCCGGCTCGCCTTACTGGGCTTGTCTGGCCTTTATCTGTCTCGCCGTGCCCGAAACGCATCCCTTCTGGACTTCCGAGGAAGAAGATCCCTGGCCGCTCATCCCCGCCGTCAAACCCCTCCCCCAACCGGGTCACATCATGAGCAATCTCGGCGGCCACTGCATGCTTCTCTCCTCCGGTCAGGCCTGTTCCTACCCTATGAAGGGCACGCACGCCAAGTACGGCGCCTTCGGCTACTCCTCTGCCTTCGGCTACTCCGTTCCTCCGGGCTGCTTCACGCTGGAGCAATATGCTCTGGCCTCGCAGCTGGGTTTCTCCGATGACGGAGGAGAGTGCTGGAAGACTCGCCGCCTCTCTACTTCCCGCCTCGCTACCAAGGAAGGTAGTCCAGTGCTCATCTCCGAATGGACACCCTACCCAGACGTCTTCGTAACGACCTACCTCCTCCCGCCCACCGAAGCCGCACTCAACTGGCACTTGCGCGTGCACCACATCCGCGCCGAAGGGCGCTCGGTGATGACAGCCGACGGGTCCTTCGCCATCCTCAACGAGCGGACACCGGACGGTCGATACCTTGACTTGTACGACCCCAAGAAATGCGAGGGGACGTCCCCCAAGTTGATCGGGAACTATGACCTCAAAACCCCCGAAGCGTGGGCTCCCGGAAAGAAGGGCGCGTTCGCGGTGTCGAGGGCTGGAGCGGTGGGGATCAGAGTGTTGGATATTGAGGAAGAGGGCAGAGAGGCGACGTTGGTGAATGCGGATCCGAACTCGAATCTTGTGGAGAGCAGGACGACGATTCCGACGTTGCAGCATGAGATTGGGAAGGGCGGGAGATGGTGGTACGTGACGGGGATTTATGCGAAGCCGGCGGGCGAGGGGGTCGCTAAGGAAAGTTATTTGGATGGGTGGGAGAAGGGACCTGAAGTGCCGGGGTGGTTGAAGGAGGAGATTGAGAAGAGTGAGTGAAGAAAGGGCTAGTTGATGACTAGATCTGATGAGAAAGGAGGGAACGTAGGGGGTAGACTTTAAAAATGAACTTTTGTATTATGGGGGTATCCATCCCAATCCGTGTTTCAGATTGGGTGTTTATCATACTTTTTTTGGTTGTCGAAGAACCGATTGATACCTTTGCTCCGCCGCTATCCCATCCCATATACGCCTCCAGCCAACTTTTATCCCGAGTACTTACCCATACTCATCCAGATCCAGATCCATATACCTTTGTTTGGTTTCAGTAAAGTCGATGATTTAAGCCCTGGCAAACTCGTCAATGAACTTGGCTAGCTTCTCAGCACCCTCCAAAGGAATAGAGTTGTAGTTAGAAGCACGGATGCCGCCAACGCTGCGGTGGCCCTTGAGACCGGTCAGGTTGAGGGCGGTGGACTCCTTGAGGAAGGCCTTCTCGGCCTCGTCGACGTTGCCACCCTAAAAACATATGTTAGCCCATTTCGCAACAACAAAATCCGTTACTGTGAACTTCAAAACATACCTTGATAACGCGGAAGCAAATGTTCATCTTGGAACGGGCAGACTTGTCAGGAACAATCTTGTAAGCCTCGGGGTGAGCTTCCAAGGCCGCGTAGATGAGCTCGGCCTTCTTCTCGGCAACGGCCTGCTGGCCATCAACACCGTTGGGGTAAGTGGCGAGGAGCTTCTTGAGGACCTGGCCGGCGATGTAGACACTGTTCATTTTGTTAGCCTGTAGCAATGCAAGCAACACATCATAATCGAGTTCACCCCTCTTCACCCCTCTTTAAAAAAAAAAAAAGAAAAAAAGAAAAAAAAAGGACTCACTCAAAGATGCTCAGCGTGTTGTACAAGCTGTTGTTCTTGGCGATAATCTCATACTGAAGAACGATAGGAGGGATAGGCAGGGCGAGTTTCCTGAGCAGAGCCGGGCTAGGCTGGCTGAGAGTAGGCGGGAGGAAGGTCTTCTTGAGGATGGCCACAGCGATACCGGTCGAGCCGAGGTTCTTCTGGGCGCCGAAAAAGAGGAGGGAGTAGTTGCTGACGGGGATGCGGCGAGAGAGGATGTTGGAGGACATATCGGCCACAACGATGGGGCCGCCGGTGCCGTCCTCCTTGGGCTCAAGGATCTTGGGGAAGCTGGGGAACTCGACGCCGTCGACGGTCTCGTTGTCGCAGAAGTAGACGTAAGCGGCATCCTTGCTGAGCTTCCAGGTGCTCTCGTCGGGGATCTTGCCAAACTTCTTGCCGTCGTCGCTGAGGGTGCGGGCGTCGCACACCAGGTTGACGTACTCGGGCCCGAGCAGGCGCTGGGCCTCCTGGTAGGCCTTGAGTGACCAGCTGCCGGTGACGATGTAGTCGACCTTGAGGCCGGACTCTATGCGCTGGCGAAGGGCGGCAAGCACTGCGGCCTCGTCGGCAGCACCCTCGCCAAGCTCCTTCTGGACGGCGGCGTGCTGGCGGGAAACCCAGGCGCCGACGAGGTTGTACATGGAGGCGGCGAACTCGCCGGTGCCACCACCCTGCATGAAGAGAACCTCATACTGCTCCGGGGAGAAGTCGAGGTAGGTGGCCAGGTCGGCCTTGGCCTCGTTGATGATTCTTGGCCGCAAGCTCGGAGCGATGAGAGTGCTCGGCGATACCCAGGCCGGTGCCCTGGTAGTCGAGCAGCGCCTGGGCGGCGGTCTCGAGGACGTCGGTGGGGAGGGCGGCAGGGCCGGCGCCGAAGTAGGTGATGTCCGCGCGGGAAGGCATTTTTTGGTAATATGTCTCTGAGACTTTATGAGAATTGTATGAACAACTATCTGACAGGTTATTTTTTGAGTTGTTAAATATAAAGAACACAGTGAAGAGTGAGTAAGTGAGGTTGATGTTGTTCAAAGAGAGTCTAGAAGTTTGGCATCTCCACTCTTCCCTTGGCTTCCCGCTGCGAGTGAGTTTCAAGTCCTTTTCAGGGTTATGAATGTACAGCTTCTGGCGGAATCGGAGTCACTTCAGCTTCTCTCTTCAACCGCTCACGAAAACCCCCATTCTTTAATGTATATGTAGATGACTCCCATTTGGTAAGAGAGTATTGCCAGTGGTGATAGATGCCCGGTGTCGGCTTTTCATCGTTCGTCCAAACAAATGACGTGACTCACTGCTGCACACCCCGTTCCCCAGGTTTTAGGTTTTATTCTTACGCAAAATATTTACAAGGGGAAAAGCGCCGCATCGTGGGGCCGCTTTTGTTTTTGTGTTTTTGTTTTTCCCCCTGGTCACTTGCAAGGATGGCCCCCATTTTTATGTGAATCTCTTGTCACCCTTTTCATCTCAGACTTTTTGAGACATGTCAACATCATCAAACATGGAACTCGAACTCGGCCGATGAGGAGAGATTCTTTTCGCATGCCCCTCGCTCTCTCTGCCGCATGCACCATTCGTGATACATATCACCATTTAGGCTTCCCTATTCTTTGTCGTCGAATTGGCTCTTTCCCCAGCGTTGTGTAGCACCCTGAGCCACTGAAAGAGAACCACACAAAGTGCACCAGATCTCCAGCATTGTGGCAGTGTTTCCTTAACACAACATCCCGACTGGCAGTGGGACGTTCATGTTTCTATTTACAGCTTTTGACTTTCAGGCCGGTACATGAGGGTAGCATCTCGATAACCGTTGAAGAGTGGCACAGAACTGAATGTACCCTGATGGAATGGAAACCACAATGGGAATCCTGCTGGGAGCTGGAGCTAGGAGGTAGCTCCGCCTGAGAGTTGCAGCGGTACACGGCAGCCGCCGACGGCCCCAGTGGTTCCCCATTGTCGGCCTCGACCTTGGTGCCGGCGGGAAGGAGGAGGCTGTGTCGGTTGACGCCCCGTCCCGTCTTAGTGGACTTCACCTTGAAATGATACAAAAGATCGACGATCCTCAATTCTTGACCAGATGAACCTGTGAACATCAAGCTCTTCATCAAGGTCAAAACTCATTGAAAAATTAGCAGGACCCCCCAAGAACAAACACGGTACGTACCCGATCCTTCAGCGCGCTTATCGCTGATAAGCCCCACCCCTGCCCCACCATTCTCCATCAAACAGCTTCCCCCAGCCAGCGGGCAGCTCCAGCTGTCATTCAGACACCCCTGTCCGTCAACTTCACACCTCGAAACTTCAACTTCACACCTCAGACTCACCTCGCCTCCCAGCAGCTCTTCACCTCACTCAAGTCCAAAGCCAAAGCCCAATCCTAACCTCAACCCCTTTTCAAGACCCAAAACACACCCAGATCAAAAACCACCAAAATGGCAACCAAAGACCGCATAACGTGCCACATCCTCGACACATCCAAAGGCCAGCCCGCGCGCTCCGTGCGCGTCAAGCTAGAACTTCTCTCCCCCACCACCACCCAACACCAACAACAACAGCAACCAACCAAAGTCTTCGAATCCCTCACCGACGAAGACGGCCGCATCAAGACGTGGCTCCCTTACTCCTCGGCGCTTTCTTCGGGAGAAGTGCCCGTCTACACGCTTGAGGATGTGCTGGTCAACGACATCAAGGGCCCCTCGCGCTGGATGTTGCGGTTCGACACGGCCGGGTATTTCGGCGGCGAGGACAAGACGTTCTTCCCCGAGGTGACGGTGGTGTTTAGGGTGGAGGAGGGGCAGACGTATCATGTCCCTTTGCTGTTGGCGCCTTATAGTTATTCGACTTATAGGGGGAGTTAGATGGGGATGGGAACTTGGGTTGGAGGTTGATGTAGAAGGGGGAAAAGAGCGGATGGAATGGAGTGGGTGATGGGTTAGGTGAGGAACCATATGAGAGGAGAAGGAGCGGTGATGTGTATTGTTCTGGAAGGATGGATGGAAGCGGTTTGAATGGGGTTGCAAATCTGGGGAAAATGAGAACGGCAGATCAACATCATCATTCAATGGTCTCGATTTATTTGGGCGTTCTTTCATCGTGACGGGGACATCCGAGCATGTTACTAACAGTGTTGACTAGCGGCGAGCGAGACGAGATGTGGTACTCCACCCATAAGGCACATTCTTTGATTGCGGGCAATGCTATTTCTGCTAAACATCCACTCTATTTTTACACGGACATGATTCCAAGACCTAAACAATCCAGACCTGCTAAGTTGATGAAGCCCAGGTTACTGTAGTGTGGTTTTGAACCTGAGTAGTCTGATTTGACATGTGATCATGTGGAGTTGAAGCGGATGCATTTTCGTGATTCCCGACTGTCAGGTCCGGCAGCATCGGACTTGTGCGGTTTGGCCCGACGGAAATTCCCAGGTAGGTAGACCCTGTTATGGGAGATTAAGGATTGTGGTAAATGACTCCTGCCGGGTGGTTTGAACTGAGAAAGCCAGCTTCATGTCATGCTCTCACACTTCCCTTCCTCTGAATCCCATTGATTAAAGATGTGTAGATAACCCCAATGATATTGCTCCCCTTCGAATGCTTCGGTACAAAAGAAACTCGTTTGCCGTCGTGCTTTGGTGTGCTTGTGTGATTTGTTGTACAATGCTGCCATTTTTACCCTCGCTCCTTCAAACCATAAACCTGGTGCTATGCGACCGTGGCCAATAAAACTCCGCGCTGAGTGGAAAAGACAAGAAGAGGAATATGCAAAGAAGAAAGAATCGGAAAGGCCGTCGGCCCACACGGCCCCGCTCGGCACTATTCTGCCGTCTTGGTGAATCACTCCACCTTCCGCTCTGGCCGATCAAAACGAATGATATCGCGATCGTCCTCCGGATGACTTGTGCCAAGCTCGGCCAAGCCGCAACATCAGCCGCCCGCCCAGCCTCGTCAAGCCAGCCGAGACGTTGACGCTCAAGGCGACCTGCCCAATACGTTCCTGGCAAACCATGCCCTCTTCCCCGTCGACTTTGTGCTCCTCTTGGACTCCGGCGAGTCCGGCAAGAAGAGCGGCTGTGCGCGGTTCACAAACGGCGTCTCCAGTCGTCGAGGGCCTGAGCCACCTGTTGAGGCGGACATGACACTATCGCTGTCCTTTGTTGGTGTTGTTGCTGGGGTGTTCACCCATGCCGCCCCATTGTCTGGTGGTCTTTTGCTGACATCGCCTCGTACCGCGCGAGCCATGCGTTCGATGGTCTTGATGCCGTCCATGAATCCTTCTGCGTTGTTTGGGCTTGAGGTTGGTTCCTTTAGGAACGAGTTTCGGGCCCGCATGAGTGCCCTTTCCGTCGATATGTCATCCTCACCGAGGGTGGCATGAGGGCCGATGATGGCTTCTGGGTGTGGTAATGTTGTGTTTCGGTCTGATACTGGTGTTAGCGAAATCCACTCTGCAGCCCTATGTATGTCATGCTGACGCACCTCCATTGAAGGGCTCTGGGAACCCAGTGTCCCGTCCTCTTGACGATGTGCTCGAAGTCGGTCGGAGGCTAGACATGTCGTCGATAGTTGATGACAAGCTAGCTCGCTGGCGTGAAGTCCTACGGCGTGTGAAGCTGCGCATCATGGTAACTTTAGTAAACTGGGCGTCTGGTGATCTTTATGTGCGGTCGTAGGTTCTGCCGGGTCCTGCCGAGCAACGCGTAATCGTCCTGTCCCTTCGCCACTTGTGCTTGGCTTCAGGAACAATTATTGAAAATCCCCAACTTTGGAGACGAATGTGAATATGGAGATGGCGGGAGATCCCGAATTATGAGGCTCGAAGAGAGTCGATTCCCCCTTGATAAGTGATGCGATATCGCTTGGTGTGGCGATCATAAGGTGGGAAGAAATGAGTGAATCAAAGATACACGAGATTGCCCATGAGACCCCATGAAATAAGAACGGGGCTGGCCCTTAGAAGCTCTGACCGACCGACCGACAAGACAAATCCAAGAATCCCAGTTCCAGGAAAAGAGTTTCGAGCCAAAGCGGTGGAAAAGGTTCAAAGCTCCCGCCCGACGCATGTGCCATTCTTATCAAAGACACAGCGCAAGCTTGCATCATGCCGCCGCTTGGACTGGCTATGTAATTCCTTGTGAACCCTTGGTTGAGCCACGTTTGAACCTCCAAAGACGATCAAGCAATGAACGACCCGTTTATGACCAAAGAGGTTCTAGAATGCCATTGTCTCGAGTTCAAGTGTTGAGGAGCAACGAGTGGTCGAGAGTGAATCGGCTGGCTTTCGACTTACCACTGTTGAACGGTTTGACGGCGTGACGGCTTAAACTCCGCGGAGGTGGGGTGACTGGGGTCGGTCTTAGTCGTGAGCGATACTCCGACGCCGAGGGTCAGAGGCGCTGTGGGATCAGGCGCGCGTTAGGTCAAGGTGGCGTGGCAGAAGGTGAAAACCAGCGGTTTGTTTCGTTTCCAGCCAAACAACGATCGGAGTCTAGACTGAATGGTTTGGGTGGATGGAGTTGTGTTGAAAAAAAACTGTAAAGTGATCTATCCTCCCGGAACCTGGGGTCCATCGTGTTTAAACTCCATCTCTGATTCTCTAGCATCAGCACCCAGCAAGGTCCTCAGTGGCCCCCAGCCAGCATGTGTGTGCTGCGGTGTCGTGGAAGTACCGGTATACGTGGAGGAAAGGTAAGTGGAACAGCTTGACGTCGCTGAGGCATTTCGCCGACCATTCATCCAGCCATTGATCAATCACGAGAGACGTCTGTCCAACGACGGAATCACGAGCGATTGGCTGGTCAAATAGTTCGCAGCATGCTCCGATAGAGCCGAAAATCCATCGCGGTCCATCCGCCGCATCGAGCAATCGTGCAAAGAGAAAGTCGAGCTGAGTCGAGGTAGCTCTAGTAGCGCAGTCTTCTTCTCCCTAACCCGCAGAGCCAGTGATGCAGGTCTCAGTTTAAAGCCATCTCGGCGAAAAAAAATTGGTGTTTAGCTTTGCTCGATCATTCTGTCTCAAATGCGGTCTCGGCCTCCAAGTTGCGGTCTGCTGGGCTGTGTTGTAAGGAGCGTCAGTCACCATGACCGGAACAATATCGACGTTGTCTCCGATCCGTGATGTGGGCTAGCACGACGTTGGTGTTGTCCTCAGCCACAAATTTCACACGCCACATAGAGATAGTGGCTTGGTCAGGGGCTTCCCAGAGCCCAGGGTTATGTGAGGAAGGGGTACCAGGGTTGAATGTGTGGGAAGACGGTCAGGTACAGACACTCGTCCATTGCAACTTGACTCGAAAAGAAAGGGAAATGGGAGGTTGCTGTCGGGGTTTGGTACTCTTTCAATGTGGCTCTGAGAGGTGTCTTGCGAATTGTAGGCATTGTGAGACGACCAGGACGTGGAAGCTGACCAACTTGTCTACAACAGACACGGATATCAGGGTGGATGTTGTCATTATTGAAGTTGGCAACAATCTCTAGTGAAACTGTAAACTTCTGCCCATACCTTAATTAGCACACCGGTTCTTTATGCGTCAGGACAAACCTGAAAGAGACTTGCCCATCTTGCACGGATGTGGTCTCTCAAGATGGCGAAACCCGCACAACAATTTGGACTTCACAACGACGTAGAGGAATAAATAACTTACACCACACTGGATCCTGGGTTTTTTCTCTTTTTTTCCCCTTTTTCCATCTTTTTTTCAGGGAAATGTCAAGCTGAAACCAGGGCGAATCAGTTGTTCAAATTCCCATGAAATTCGGTTGGACGGCCGGCTGTAAGGTGACTTGGTGTCGACAGCGATCTGTCTGACTGTCTGAGACGAAACGAACGTGTTCGTGACAAAGGGAAACACCTGACTGGTAAGTTTTGTTTGATTGAAGAGAACTGAAAAAGCCTTTCGTGCCAGACTCAGTTGAAAACTTTGCAGATGTGGAAAGCTTCCATTGTATTAAAGCACCTTCCGAATCTTACCGAAGTCACTTACACAGGGGCAGGCAGTCACGACATCTGCCCGCCTATTGCTCCTGCCTGCCCATGCCTGCCCATGCCTGCCTACCTTCCTTCCATCCCATCTCAATCTCCTATACCCAGGGGCAGGGGCAACCAAGCCTACCAGGTGTTCCTTCCAATCTCAAACCTCCCATGCGCCTGCCCATGGGCCATATAACCCTTCATCTCATGGCTCCTTCCAAGTTTCAACACCCCCGGCCAACGACATTCTACACAGTAGGAGGTCCGATGGCGCAGTCCGTAGTAGTAGTGACGGGGCATTCGAACGGCCTGTCCGTACTAAAAGGAGGGGGGTGCGGCCAACGGTTGCTCAACGATAACTTTCTTAAGATGTTCGCACCTACCTCAATGGTTGTTGAACAGCAAAAGAACCGTTAGTTCTGTTCCAACAACAAACGTTTGGACTTTCTCAACGGTTGATAGATAGTTAAACGACGGTAATTATACGATTTTAAGCTATCAAACGTGTTAAACAACGAAGGTTGATATTTATTAGACGTAGCTGAAGGTTGACGGATTGAGCGACGGTTGGCGATTTTTGGAACGGTAAATTGCAGTTGCTTGAGCGTTTCCTGGAGACACCCCCCTTCCACGGGTGCACCAGCTTTACATCTTCAAATCCGTTTTCAGTCCGCCTTCGAGTTTGATTCGCGGCCGGGGCAGATCATGAGGTTCTTTTCAACAATTGAAGACAAAGCTGAAAGTAGGTAGCGGGAGTTCCATGTCGTACAGCGCGGGAGTTTCCACTCGTAGACCTGACTGAGCTGGAGAGGCCTAGTAGAACCAGGGATACGTAGAACTGGCTGTGTTGCCTGTGTGTTGGCATCTCCTTTTTTTTTTTTTGGTTCAG